TTAATAAACAGTGATTTGTTATATTAATAAATCCAGTTATTAGCTAATAAAAAATACTCAATAAAATATTCATAATATCTATTAAAAGTTCATTATACCAATGAATTTAAAGTCAGTAAATGTCATTCATTGATATTATGAATAACATTTTTTTCAGTGTATGATTTCAGGGGATCATGTAACTTTCTCAACTGTGAAATGTGAAATTGTTCACGTGAACTTTTTAGCCAAGGACCGTGGTGGCGGAAAGACGGAAATCTAGGGAATTGATAAATATACTTCGGAACTAACATGTCTTATCCTCCGACACTTTATTTCAAGGCAGATGCCATTAATAATTGAAGAAGAAATAATATCGCTTTGACGGAAGAGAGGTTATATATATATGTAACTATTATAATAATATATTATTATTTTTGTTTCACAGTTACGTTCATTATTATTTTTCTTTCTGTTATTAGGTTATAAATTACATGGATTGCTCAGTCGTCCATACAATATCGCATATGTAATAATCGCCATGGTATAAGAATATAAGGTATTTCGTTCCCGAGGATGCGCAGTAGTCCAAAATGGCGGCTGCTCCTCCTAAACCAATCACAAATTTGTCCAAAATTGTAAAAAGCAACATGGCTGCTACCATAGTATATATGTACATATAATTTTGGGCTAATTTTTGATTGGTTGTTCTAGTACTTTTCCGCCATTATGCGCAATGAAATAACTTATATTCTTATACCATGATAATCGCTATACATGAAAAGTTTTACGTGAGATCTCGATGAGTGAAAAATGAAAAGTGAAAAGTAAAAAATTAAATGTGGAAAGTTTCACGTGAAAATACATGATTGACCCCCTGATTCTAGTCTAGTATTTTCCGGTTTAGTACTTTCCGAGATTCGGTTTTTCGCATCGACATCTAGAATGGACCGCTGATGGCAATGGTGGGGGTAGAAAGACGATTAGAGTGAGAGGCAGGAATAATAAGATCGTTCTTTCTCTGTTTACTGTTGTTTCTAACAGCCTGATTCGTTGTTGGATTAACAACAACCAATCAGGCTTCAGTAAACAGAGAAAGAGCAATCTTATTATTCCTGCCTCTCACTCTAATCGTCTTTCTACCCCCACCATTGCCGTCAGCGGTCCATTCTAGACTTCTAGATCATGGTATAAGGATAAGGGTATGCTCACGCCGTGGATACCCACTGCGCAGTCAAAGTGTGACGTCACTCTCGGGGCCAATCAGACCGCCCAAACGAAAACATGGCGGCTCCTGATGCTTGACACGATATTAATGTTCGGTGTTACATACACAATGTCCTGTTCTGTGAAAGGTTGTGGCAATTATTTTCGCAAAACAAAATTGCTTAATGGAAACAGTATAAAATATTGCTGTAGAAAATAGATATAAGAATAAGAGAAAAAAGTTAATGAAATTTACAAATCCTTTTCATAACATTTGTATATACGTGTTATTATTATTGTTGACATTTAACTATCCCCACAAAGGATAACCTTAGGGCCTGCGCATAAGAGAGGAAATATTAGAAATAGATATTAAATATAAGATGATAAATAAATTAAATATAAGATAATAAATTTCATAATAAATTCTTCTATCTTTATTGAGTTTGTAATGTTTACTTATGTTACATTTTGTTACAGGATATTCATTAGTTCTTAAATTATTTCAAAACGTATTTTTCCCTGTAAACTTTAAATAAAAATAAAATATCTGACGAGAATGCTGCTAACATAAGTTGGTTGGAAACAGCAGTTTTAAATTTACCGCTTGTTGTGTGACGTCACACTTCGACAATTTTGATTGGTCGCATGCGCGTGAGCATACCCTTATCCTTATACCCATGATAAAAAGACAAGGGTATGCTCATGCGCATGACCAATCAGATTTTTGTCCTTGCTTACGTCACAACGAGCGGCTTACGCCACTGTTCAGCAATTTCAGATTGTTTTGGAAAGGTAAAATATTTAATTTTACTTCCCTCAGTTTTTTTTGTTTTTTTCATATAATTGCCGCATCCTTTCACTATGCAGGTCATCGTGAAAATATTTTTAACATTAACTTCTACCGATGACAACGTGCACTACGCCATGGACGCCATGATAAATTACGACCGATAACCACCGATTGCACCCGAATCAGAACCGACCAATCAACGCGTACCCGAATATGACGTAAGCAAGGACATGCGCAAGCTGAACGAGTTTTAGACAATTGATGAGCATACCCTTGTATTTTTATCATGCTTATACCATGTTCTAGATGTCGGTGGTGATAACACTGTTGATGCGATCGGTAGCGTCTTTTTGATCTGTCACAGAAGTTTATTTATAATTTACGCTAGTTAGAAAACGCTATCACGGTTTTCTGAGACATAACAGTACGCGTAACGATAAAAATTTTCCAATGAGGCAAGCGCTGTTGCTTTATAGTTTGTATATTTAAGAGAAAAAAAAAGGGGGAAAAGAACATACATGGACTTCTCGACGCCGTATTTCTACTATTTAATCTTCTAAAGTATATTGAAATCATGGAAACATGTCTGATCGATACCACAGAGGAGGGTGGTGAGAAAATCCATACCAATCCTCCATTCCAAATAGTAAGGGTTCCAGTGAAACATGCCAATCTGGGAATACGAAGTCATGCCATGTAAGTTTCTCATAAAAAAGAATTATGCCTATTTATATAAAATATTTATGATATATTAATGAAAATTATGATACTTCCTTCACAGGGACATGAGCACAATGGTAGAACTTACATCGTTTAGCACACTAGGAAAGATACAGCCCTTTCTAGTGACTATCACAACTACTGCAGCTTTGTTAGTAGACTTACATTGTCACCTAACGGACAAGGAAGTTTGTGGCTATTTGGGTGTGTTATATATATATATATATATATATATATATATATATATATATATATATAGTGCTTTACAGTAAGGACATAGACTGTGATTGATTTGGATGCTTGCATGCTTTAAGCGCTTGTAATCGTCATTCTGTCTTTATCGTTTATTAGACATAAAATTAAGAATAGAAGTACTAAAAGCACTGAAAGCGTCCAAATCGACCACAGCTGTAGTGTAACACATTGATCACTTCATCTTTGTTTAATATTGGCAAACAACAAGAGGCCTATTCTTTTCAGATGAATCTTCTTGCATTGTTGCATCTTTTTCTTTTTACATTTAAGAGAAAAAAATGACGAAATATGCAAGAAGCTTAGCTAAACAAACTTAAGAATATAATAGTTTGCTGTGTTACACTATGTCATTTGTCTCTTACTGAAAAGCATTCATAATTATTTCATCAAGTATTATTGATTTACTAAGAGATATATCTTGTAGATCTTTCTATAACGTGTGCATTTCCATGTCGATACTCTGGCAAGGACAAATCAGCCGCTGCAGCCGTGGAAGCTGAAATTGCAAGAGCCATGGAATGGAAACGTGTAACATTGGTAGGTTGGTATCATTCTCATCCACGCTCTCATGCATCACCTTCTTTAAGAGATGTGGACTCTCAGTTGGATTATCAAATTAAGATGAAGGGACCTAGCGATAATGGATACATACCATGTGTAGGATTGATATGCTGTAAGTATTTTAGATTATTTCTTTGTCATACAACATAAAACCGCTGAATGATCATTTCATTCTATTTTGCAGCACCTTACAATATGGATGGCAATTGTTACGAATCAAATTTTAATGTCTTTTGGTCTCTACCGCCACCTGAAAACAGACCCCATGAATATCCTCGACCTATGCTTCTCAGTTACACATTATCACAAGAGCACTTTCTCTCTCAGGATACATTGGAGGAAATTGTAAATGTTTTGTAATAATTAACTCATTTCCAACGTTTTTATCTCCTATGCATAAATTAAATTGAATTAAATTAAAGTTCAATTAAGCAAGATATAAATGTCAAAATTTGGAAATAAAATGATTAGATTCTATAAAAGATTATCTTATGTATTGTGTTACCATGTTTGTCACTGATATTTATATTGTTTACTTTTGTAGAGAAGATGTATAGAATATTATAAGAGTGAGGGTGGCATTGACTTTACTGCCAATTTTAACGGTAATACGACGTATCTCGAACGTTTAAGGGTGAGTATATGACAATGACAAATGCAAACTAGTCCTCATTAATCTATATACTAATGTATGTACTAATCTATGTTAATAGTGTTCCTTGGCATCAAAATTACCTGGTCGAAACAGATCAAACAGCTCATATTGGGATGTGATCAGGGAGATGATATGTCCAGGTTCGGAGGATAGCAATACACCTGAGTTTCTAACCATGAAATTTCCTCTGGTATCTGCCTCAGAATCGTTGGGGCCTCCAGTTCCACCTGGCGTAGGACTTACGGCTAGTAACGCGGCTGTTTTCCTAGCGCCAGTCAACTTCAAACCTGATGGAGGTGCCATAATAACGCCTACTTCCAAGCCATTTGTATTACAACCATCGACCTCACGAGACAGCATCAAGAAGGACAATACTATAGGTCCTAATGATGCTGCATCTATCACTCAGATAAAAGACGGAAATTCCATCGTGGGTTCCAAGCACATATCGCCATCGGAGATAATACCAAGCTTCCAATCTGGCGAACTCACAGTGTCGGTGAAGAATGCGAAGTGCGACTATGATTTCGCGCCTGCGGACTTCTCGAAACTACCGAATCTGATTGGTGACAGTAGTGTCAAGTCTCGAACAAATCCCGATTTTCCACTAGCGGATATTACTCAACAGATTACAAAGTTTTCGGATTTGACGAAGCTGGCGAATTTTCCTACAACCGATTTAGCAAAGCTATCGGGATTCTCCATTGCGGATTTCACAAGAACCTCATCGCCCTCACCGTCCACGTATATGCGCAACATTGCGAATCTGTTCGGTCCCATCGGCAAGATCTCACCGGCAAAAGACATGGACGGTAATGAACGCAAACCGGGTGATTTCGTCACTGTTGACGCGATTCCATCACCCTTTAAGAGTGTCAGTACATCGGAGGCTTGCAGAAATTTCTCTGTGAGCGTTGACGATTATACGAACGATCGGAAGAAATTGGACTCGCAAACCGACCCGACGAAGATCGGTAGGCCGGGCGAATATCAAGGAATGGAGGATTTGACAATATCTAGCATTAAATCTGACTTCGGGAATATGCTGGACATGACGGCGTTGCATAAAAAACAACAATCGCAATCGGTTGACATGGGAGATTCATTGAATCTTTCTAAAGATCGGTAAATCTGTAAAGTATACTCGAATTATCGTACTGATGAAGAATTATTAAAAAATTTTTCGAAATTTATCAATTTTCAAAATTGTCAATTTTTGAACATAGTATCAAGAATTGCATACATCTAAATCTCGTTTATTGGGTGCTTTCCGTTTAATAACACAAGTCAACACAAGTATCGTTTTATCTTTGTCACTTTCTGAATCTCAAGAAGGATAGAACGACGCTTGTGTCGACTTGCGTCATCAAATGGAAAACATTCATTAATAGTTTTAAAAAAGCTTATCGAATGTGTTGAAAAATCACATTGCGTGTAATGCTATTTTAAATTATTTTGCATTATTTTAGATTTTATGAAATCAGTATTTTTTGTAACATAAGAATGTACAATAACTACACTGTTAGTACTATTGGTGATAAATCTTACTAAGAATCGAAATTAGAACAATTAAAATCTCTATGTTTCATTTAGTGCTCAAATTTATTCTTTGCATTTTGTACTGTGATATATGTACGAAAACGTATATATAATAAGTTGTGAACATTAAATGACTTCTACAGTGATTTTTTCTTATATATACAAATAGATATTCTATTTAGCTTAATTTTGTATATGCCTGATTATATATTGGATTATTATTAGAATATTAAACATAAAGCCAGCAATTTATAATTACTTAAAATATTAAAATAAATAGTTCATTATATGTAAAAAGAAAAATTATTTCTAATCGTTTTATTAGAAACAAGTAAAATATATTGTTATACTTTTTAAATAATTTTTTTAACATATAAAAAATTAATTTTATAACATATGTGCAACTTATTAAAAAATGTAAATTATCCTGAAATTATCGACATCAAAAGATTTTCTAACTATTGATATTTTTATTATTAAATCTAAATATAATTAAAATAATTATAATTATAGAATGAGATAATGTAATTGTTAAGGCATAATTATAGTATTAATGACGGTTTAGACAATTTGTAATTAATTATAATGTAGGTGTTTTTTTAGTAAACATATTTCATTAATGTTTTTCTTTTTTAGTTTGTCATTCAAGTGAAGAAGATCCGAAGCGGATCGAGTTATTTTTACTGTTGCCTGGTTGGTAGAAACACATTAATATTAATTTATTCAAAACTATATGTTTGGAATCTCTCATATCCCCATCTGCAAGTTTATAGATACCAATATACTTTTATTCTTCTCAAAGACATAGTCTTGTTTGATAGCAAAGATGAAGCACTTGCGTTGGAATCGTATTTATCATGTATATTTACATGATATGAGGCCAGGATCTGATATTTCCGACTGACGAGGAAACGTCCCATGTTAGCGGTGGTAACTCTACGGTAATATAATATTAATACAAAATCATGAGGGACAACTTTTTTTTGTATATACTCGCTTCTCACAGACGATAACGGAACGTATACCCGTGTCAATACCGGATAGTTGCCCGGAAAACATGCTTCTTTATCCAGGCAATGGCGCGAAGAATTCCTGGGTGTACGACTGTAGGCCACGGTTCTTGTACTTTTCATTAAATGATTCCTGCTATGAAGCCTACAGACAGGGTCCCTGTTCATACAAGAATTACGTCGTACTTCTAAAGAACAAGGTACTTCCTCGTTGTGTGGAGAATCCTTGCTTGGAAGACAACATAGTTTCATACAACGGTGTGTGTTATCCTCTCAAAACTATAGGTGGTCCGTGCACGCCTACAGGAGTATTAGGCGTGAACGAGACTACTTTCCAATCGGAATGTTATACCATTGGACATTGCGCCCTTCATGATAATAACGACCGTTCCCAAAAGAATATGTCCACCAGGCAGTAGCAGAAGCATGCTTGGAATATGCAGAAAAGTATGAATATACAAAAGTCCTGATACAGTTTTCTGCTTATTGTTGTTTCTAGTGCTTATTTACATTTTATATGATTCTATGTATTTCACATTTTCCATATTAGATATGATTATAGATACAGTATATTATATCTTGATATATGAAATTTAAGATAAATACATCTTATAAAAAGAAGATAAAAAATAAGTATATAAATTTAAAATAATTCTAAAGAAAACTTAAAATAATTTGTATAATTTTTTATAAATTCAAGAATATGTAATATTTATAAAAAATCGTTTTAACAATTAATGTATCACAATATGTTTATGTATATTAAATGAATAAAAGTAGCATAGAAATAGAAGTAACAAAAATTGATAATTGCTTATTTTTTTATTGCATATTAAAATTTATGTGTTATTGAGATGTGTTATTGAGATTTTTGTTATTGAATATCGATATATCGGATGTCTCACAATTTATGACCGAAATTTGAATAACCTTTTTGACTTAAGAATAAGACAATCCTAATGTCGAGGCTATAATAGTTTTTAAATTAACAGCGGTTAAACTTAACTAATCTAGAAAGAGACAAATATAGAAAGAGAGAGGAGAGGGAGGAGAAGGGGAGAGAGGAAGAGAGAGAGAGAGAGAGAGAGAGAGAGAGAGAGAGAGAGAGAGAGATTCTGTGCGCTCAGAGACGGTACAATCATACAAGAGGATGTTCGTATGCCTATGTTTAATGCGGGTTCTACAATGAGTTTTTAGTCTGTAGTCGGTAATCGGAAGTCTAATGGGCCTTCTACAATAAGCCGCAAGTCAGAAGTTCTAAGCGATCTTAAGTCATAATCGGTGAAGGTGGCCAATAGCCAATTTGAACGATTTGGTTAAGACTGGTTAAAACTTCTGACGTTCTGACTTGCAGCTTATAGCCCAATATCAAGCAAAAAGTGAAAAAAATTAATAACAGCAAACCAAGTATTTTAGAGGTATTTTAGAAAATGCCGTCACAAGGATAAAAACCAAAAATCCAACGCGAAAAAAGTTAGGGATGGCCTCAGGGGGGTGCGTTTTAGGGCTAGGAAGCGGTTTTTCGTAATTTCCGGCGAAAGTTGACCTCCAATCGAAAAACGTTATATGGAGATGTTTTAGATATTAAAAAGATCTATAACTTTTGTAAACATGATTTTTCACATAACCTCAAAGTTTTCGAGAAAAATCGAAAAAACCGTGTTTTTCGTTTTTTATTTTTTTCTCCCACAAAAATGATTTTTTTTTCATGAAATTTACAGGAGACTTACCTTTTTATGTCCCAAATATGCTGTAATTTTTTCAAATAAAAATATTCGTTTTTTTTTATATTGATTAAAAACCGAAAAAACACCCCTATCTTCAAGTGAAAAGTTTAATGTCAAAACTTTAGATTTTTAACTTCATTATAGGGCGTTTTGTTCGTTGAAATGTCTACTTTTAGATGATCCAAAAAAAATTGACCTCACTTTACAAAAATTAGCAAAAAAACGCAAAAAACTGAAAAATTCCATTTTTGAAATTCATTTTTTCGACAATTGTTCAAAATTGGCAATTATTTATAAAAATTTACGGTTTAAATCCTTCATAAAAGTGATATATTTTGTTACATGAACAAATAAAATAATTGCAAAACGATGAAGAATGTGTTGTTGCAAGAGAAGCAAAAATAATTATTTTTGTAATTATTAAGTGTAAGGATTAAAATAGTGTTTTACAGAAGTAAATAATTACAATATTTTTTGTTAGAAAAAAGTGTATTTATTATATTGCAATCAATCTGTGAATTTCATTTTTTTTTGTAGGCTGCTCTTGGTCGTCGGAGTCCATGCCACTTTGATCAGTAGTTGAGTTCAGATCTTCAAGGCCGTCGTCGTCGTCATCGTCATTTGTTGTTCTTTGTATCGGTCCATCTTCAATAATTTCTTCGGAATCACTCAACTCTTCGTATGGCTGTTTGTCAACATTCGAACATTTTTCTGAGCCATGACAGTTAAAGCACAAACTTGTGCACTTAAGTCCATGTTTTCGACAGCCACACTTTTTACTGTTACAGCCTGTTTCACAACTGCAACAAATAGTTTTCAGTAAAATGTCCGGAATCAAATCATTGTCGGTAAAAATTGGCATCATTCCACGATGATGCTGCTTCCAGCCCCAATCCAGTGCTGTCAGTGTGTTACCGAGCCATGTTTGTAGCTGATAGTATTCTCGGTAACAATGCTGTTTTGCTGCGTCTTCGGTTGGCGGAAGTTTTTCTAATTTAAAAGACGATTTAACTGTTGCAGCTTGGTAGTTCTGGAATCGCAATTTATTCAAAGTCATGCTTTCTTTGTTGCATTTGTAAATTGTCTTTATTAATTGCAATCCATTCGTTGCGATGACTTCTTTGCCTACGCATCTTTCTGATAAAAAACGTTGGCTAAAGTCGACAAATTTTTAGTAGACAATAATGCCTTTACGGTTGTTTTTTTTCCTTTCCCTGCAAATGCAGATATTGTATCGCATCCAGAGAAACCATGCAAAAAAGCTACAACATTTTTGACAGATTTATGCTTGAAACAGTTTGAGGTGTAAAATAAATCCTTAACGTTACCGGGGCCGGATTTTTGAAAATAAATATCGTAATTTTTTGGATTTAACTGATGTAAAAGGACCAAAAGGTCGATGTCTTGACCTACAATGACCACTGTTTGATTATTTTTTGCAATTTCGATCGAAGTATTAACTATGTCAGCATCTGCATCTTCCGTTGCTTGTTTACAAAAAAAAACCTTCTGATTGTAGTTTTCGTGATAACGTTTTTATGATTTTGCTCTTGTTTTTTTCGTTCGATAAAAATTTCTGCTGCGGAAATGGAATTCTTGTGTGGCTTTGATAAATAAATTCAGGAATATTGTCTGACGTTTTTCTTCGAAGACGCTCCAGTCTTTTTGTTGAAATACTCGCTGTCGCCATAGTAACTGTGTTTTCACACTCTGGATAGTCATCAAAAACGATGAAACTGTTGGGTGAATAATTGTTTGATATATAGCGCAAATATTTATTGATCTCTTCGACAGTGTCATTTTTCTGCCAAACGATTTTATGTAGTAAAAAACCACCGTCCACGACATGCACCACACTGGTGGGAAGTGTTGGAGCATCGATTGATGTAAATTCGTCGTAAAAGTGCTATTTCACATTTTTCCTTAGGCCATTCTCAGTAAATAGGGATAGTGGAAATGGAGCAAGCTCGTACCGCAAATAATTTTCCATATCTTCTTTGGTGTTGATGTTCAACGATATTCTCTGAAATAACAATAACGGATCGATCGCTATTGTTTCTCCATTTACTTTAACAGAAGATTGCACTGTTTTCAGAGAAAAAACTTTATTTTTTCTTTTAAATTTTACATTTCCAAAATTATTTCCGATTATGGACTTCAAAGATTTCAGACCTACTTCGTATGCTTCGTGGCAATTAACTGAATCAGTACCAACAATTCCAGAAAATATTGACGCTATGTTATCACTCTCTGGAAAAGGATCATATCTATTGAAAAACGTTTCTAATTTTTCAAGATCAGCCACATCTCTTTTGATTCGGTATTCCCTGGAATCAACATGTTGGTCTGTAGTTTCAAAAGACACGTTGCAAAAGTTTTCCATCTCATTGCACACTTCAATAAGTATAATCATTGTCAATACGAATCTCGCTAGAACACTTTCAGACCAGCTACGTCCATGGGTTAGGCCACCCTGAGTTTTCATCGACCTCATTAGCACTTGTTCAATTGTCATGTCCGACCACACTCCACACCAGAACTTGTGAGTACGTCGGATAGTAAAAAAACCTTGACAAGTAAATCGCATAAATTCGACATCATCAGTCATTGTTTCTCTGAGCTTCTGCATGTCCTGGAGATATAGATGGGCAGACTTGGCATATAAAAAGTGACCACTTGCATGGAAATATGGAATCATTTGTTCAACACATTTCAAGTGTAATTCCCAATCACCTGATCGTTCAACACGTATAAAATCTTTGACAATCGAAATCATCTTCTAGTATTGCATCCACAGTTTTGTAGTAGGGCCTCTTCGTTGTAATGATTTCAGTTGTTGAAGAAATTTTTGTTTTATTACTTTAAAATCTTCGTGATGTAGCAGTACTTCGAAATTTTCCGTTCCTACATCGAGCGCATCCAGCCGTGATTTCTCTGTGTCTGTGAAATCCGTGGATGAAAATATTAATTGTGACAAAGCGAGTTGTACAAGGAAGTGTCCTCTAACAGCTCTTGCATATGCATGACCAGTAAGAGCCTTGTCGGGCGAATTTTCCGCGTAGATTTCACAAAAAGCCTCTTTAAGACCACTACCCTCCATGATGAATCCAACTGCTCCGAGAAACGACATCAATAAATGAAAACCACCAAGTCTTACTATTATTGACGACAAATTGTGTGGGTCATTTTGTGGATCAATACTGGCCAAAATTTCACGAGCTTTAAAATACAGTGGTTGGTCGAATGTGACGAATCCTACCTTTTGGTCTAGTTTCTGGCACTGTTTAGCTGCCTCCGCCAATGAAGTAAATATGGTATCATAATCGCTCGGTGGGTTATTTATGAAAGGAAGAGTAACAATCTTCGAAACTTCATAAGTCCTACAAGAATGCAATTTTTCCATAAATCCGTTCCAACCATCTGATTGTTTATTGCAATATTTGGAATAAGACCATGTGAAATCCAACAAAGAAGTTTCATAATCCTCGACATCATCATCAATAATATCTTCTATCAAGACTGCTTTCAAATCTTCTGCATTTTTTTTTTCAAAACACTTCAGTTCAATAAATCCAGTTTGACCTATTTCTTCACGTGATGGAATCTTGTTCAGTCTAGAAATATTTTTTTTGCAGTGACAATAGAAGACGGAGTGACGATCATAATTTCTCCCATCGCATGGAAAGTATTCT